CACTCTCGTTACCTCCCGCCTTGACTGTTGTAATTCTCTCTTGCATGGTCTCCCCCAAAAATCCCTCCATCAGCTCCAACTGGTTCAAAACTCTGCTGGTCCCATTATTACCAGAACCCCTCCTACCAGCACAGACCACCCGAAAGCTCTGCTCCCAGGCTGTGACCATTGATTGATTGATTGATTGACCAGCCACTGATGACCTGTGATGGACGTTGAACCGTGTGATCACCTAGTTATAATAACATGTTTAGCCTGGTTAAAGAAGCAGCAGATATGTGAGCTTTAGTTCCTCATAGCAGGCGCTGTAGCTGAACAGGTTAATGTGCTTGTCTTGTAAACAGGAGATCCTGGATTAAAAACACAGCAGTGCATCCATGTGCTTCATGCCATTTAACTCAATCTGTGGTTTTACTTTGACTCAGAGCAGCAAACCAGCCGAGTTTGGCATCGTATTCCTGAATCACCGACTAAACAGCTGACAGTCGTCCTGCTGCTTGTGTTTATGGACCCATCTTCCATTTCTCTGTCCCGCCTTGATTAACTGAACCGATTAAATCAGCAGATTCAGTGAAGTCAGATAAGTTAAACTTTAATTCATTAATATGAAAACACTGCTGGGATTTGAACCCAGGATCTCCTGTTTACAAGGCCGATGCTTTGACCAGCTAAACCACAGCGCCTCAGCCAGAACCCCGATTATCTGTTTTTAAAGAAACGTCCCCTGATTGGGCCGCTGGTCTTTTTAAACAAGGTTCCTCCCTTGAATCAGTTAAGATGGTGTGTGTGTGAAAACACTGAGATTAGACTAGTCTGAGCTTCTGCGGGCTTCTGAGGTTCGGGAGGACAGAGCGAGCCGTAACGATGTCGAGGTCGTCATCTTCCCCGGACTCTGCCGTCCCAGCCGTGCACTGCTCAGAAACAAAGCAGCGAGGCTCGTCTGAGGGTAGACGTGCTCTCAGTAATGGTACACTGCATGGAGAGAAGATAATGATGGTAACCATGTATTTGTGCACCAACCACGCCATCCTTTTGGACACAGATTGGATCAGAGCTGCAGGATGAAGCAGGGTGCTGGGTCACATCCAACAAGCTGATGGAGGATCCTCCAGCCAACTCTCACACTTCATATTCCTCGATTGATTTTCCATCCTCCTGCTCTGTATTTGATTAATAAACTCCGGTGATACCACAGCGAGCTCCAGTAGTTACTACTGAGGCTCTCACCTCATCACCAGTAAGAGGTTTAAAGGGGAGCTGGAACATAAATCCTGCC